TTCAACTTTAAAACTCTGTTTTTCGGAAACAAGTAATGTTTTACCTACGAATGTTTCGTTTAATCGGCTTATTTCTAATCAATTAATCTTCAGTTGCTCCCATTCTTAATGGAATACCATGTATATACCGAAAGGTCTTACAGCCAAAGAACCAAATAAAAAAAGAAAAATGTACCTTATTTACCAACAATACTTTATTTAGATCTGCATCAGTAAAAATTATTTTCAAAAAATTTAATCTCATTTATATGTAAGTTGGCGGCATCGGCATACGGAAAACCTTTTTAAGAATTAAAAAAAAACAAACTTATTTTTCATAAACAATTGCATGGTCTATTAATTTTAGAAAAAAAGTTACTTTACATAAAAAGTTATGCATAGTCTAAAACCTAAATTTCAATTATCTGATATCAAATTTTATCAATCGTATACAGGGTTTGTCGAAAATAAAGGTATTTTATCTTGAGAGCAAAATTATATTTTTTGACAAACCTTGTAAAACCGACTGATAAAATTTGCTATCGGGTGGTTGCATTTTCTGTTAGACCATGCATACATTTTTATGAAGAATAACTTTTTTTCGTAAAATAAATAATAAAAAAGTTTTCCATTTGTTATCAACTTACATAGACCTACTGTGTGTATGCAACTTATGACATATTGCTGAGATAATGTTTTTGTAAGAAAAAAGAAATTAATCATAAAATTTTACTTCATTTGTAGAGTCGTAATTTATGTTTTCATATTTCTACTTTTTTTGTCAATTTAGAATTACAGTACTATTTTCAATTATAAATAAAAATTACGTATTTTAGATTAATCAATAAGAAAAATAAGCATTTTTGAAATATTAATAACTAAATACAAATTAAACAACAAATTAATAAAAAAGCATTTAAAACACGTTGACTGCCGAAGCAAATGTTGTGGTTGGGTCTAGGTAAACTACAATATCTAATAGACGCATGAATAAAATATATAAACGCGACGCGAGATTAAATTATTACAAACATATGTCGCGTGCATATATTGTGAATAGTATATTCAGGTTGTCCCATTAGTGCGTAATTGTTCAATATTTTAATTTGTGTTGTAAACACGTAAACAATTTCTAAATAAAAGTTATATGAATTTCAAAAATAGGTATTTTAAAGATATTTTTAGACATACAGGGTTTTGGGTTTTTGTCTGACAAATAAAACGGTATATTTTTTAAAAAGAAAACCCTGTATTTTACTTCAGTTTTTGAATGCTTTGGTAATGCTGTATTTAACCCTAGAATTTTATTAACAAATATTGCAGGGTTGCCAATAAATTAATTTTTTTATGAAATTAGAGAATGATTCAGACCCCAAATTAAATTATCATTATTTAGGTAGGTTTAAAATAATTTCAAATTTTTTTTAAATGTAGTAATAAGATAGTAAGCTAACGAATAGTGGTAATAGAACTGGATTATTTTTTACAGTGTGTTTTGAAAAACAAGTCTTAAATATGGCTAATTCCAAGTTAAATTTATTTAATTTTTTTCAAATGCCACACCCTGTATATTATTTAAGCATTCAATTCCTTATAAATTAACATATCCAACGATATCAATAACACATATACAGGGTGTCCCATGAGTGCGTAATTGATCGATAGCAGTTTTATAATAGGAAATACGAAAAAAATTAATATAAAAGTTGTATGACCATATTTAACAATTATTTATAAATATACAGGGTAATCCATAAACGATTATCTGACCAAACCTATACATTTTTAAAGTAAAACACCCTGCAGGTAGTTCTACATATTTGACTGTTTTCACATCGTCGAACAATAATTTATATTTCATTCATTTGCTATGTTGTATATAGGATGTGTGAAAATGGACAGGATTTTCTTAATTTTCTAAATGGAACACCTTGTATGTTATGCCACCAATTAATATAATATTCCATTGAAAAAAATTTAAGCATTTGTAACCTCGCGTGTTGACACACACTATATAGAACATAGCAAATGAATAAAGTCAATTAAAATTATTTTACGACGTGAAAACAATCAAATATGTATAACTACCTGCAGGGTGTTTTGATTTAAAAATGTATAGGTTTGGTCAACATCTCGTTTATATAGGAATAATTTTTAATATGGTCATACAACTTTTATATTATTTTTTTTTCTTATTTCTAATAATAAAACAGCTATCGATCAATTACGCACTGATGAGACACTCTGTATATATGTTATTCTCTAACATGTTGGTATCGTTGGATATGCAAATTTATAAGGAATTGTATGCTAAAATATTATATCAAATGCTGCCTTTGAAAAATTGAGTAATTTGACTTAAAAGTAACCATTTTAAGACATGTTTCAAAACACTCGCTATAAAAGAATCCAGCACTATCACTACTATTCGTTATCTTAATGTGCTATAAGTCAGTATATTAAACAATTTTGAATTATGATAATTTAATTTGGGGTCTGCATCATTTTCTAATTTTATAAAAATTTAATTGCTTGGCAGACCTGTAATATTTTTTTAAATTATTCTATGGTTGAATACAGTATTACCAAACCATTCTAAAATTGAAATAAAATACATGTTCTATTTTAAAAATATACCAAGCAAAAATGTAGCACCCTGTACATATCTAAAAATATTTTTAAAATATGTATTTTTTAAATCCATATAACTTTTCTTTGAAACATGTTTGCGTGTCTTTAACATAAATTAAAATATTGAACAATTACGCACTAATAGGACATACACATGGGTACATACACATAGCAGTCAACGTGTTAACTCAGAAATAAGATTCCTTATAAAGATAAAATAACATTCAGGAGAAGAAAGCAAAGACCGCCAATATTACGTGCGTATCATACAATGATGCCAGGTCATTCGGATTTAATTTACATCGGAATGCAATAAAGTTCCTTCCCTTTCCTGCATTTCACCATTGTATATTTCACCCACTTTAAAATCAAATTCGTCCTAGAAAGAATTGTGAAATTATCGTATAAATCGATAATCTGGCAACGTGGTCAACACTTGTTCATACACAGGCAAAATCAATCGATAATTTGGAACCAAACGAGACAAATATATATGAAAATCACGAAACAATAAAAGACGGCATACACCTGTATCACTGTTTCAAAAATTGGTACCTCTAAACAATCATTTACCTATTAAAACCATCTCTAAAACAGAGTAGCTATATTGTTTTTTACGGTGACATCTTCTTAAAAATAGATGAACTACATGAACTATACACAATTACAGGAATTCATAGAAAATCTCTAATTTGACAAATAAATTTATCAAATATTTGTTAATCGTATTTCCAGTTAGATTTGAAAAATACGCAATAAAATTTAGAAATATTTTGGCAGGATACTTGGAAAAATATGTAGAATGAAATCTCCTACTTTTTAGCCTCTGGTTTTAAAATCACTTTTTATGATTTTTTTTAAAATTCAGTGTATAAACAGGACAAATAAAAAATAGGAGATTTCATTCTCCAAACCTTATACTTTCAACTGGTAGAAGATTCATTTTAATACATTTAGCGGGATTTAAATGCAATCGGAAATGGTGAACCCTTGCTTCTTATATGAGAAATACAGTGATACTGCGGCCTTAAAGATAAAATCATAACTAATTATAAAAAAATAATGAAATACTAACCTATATGGTGTGCAATAAACTTAATAAGGGGGCGTCCATTAATTACATGAAGTGTTCAAGGGGGGAGGGGATCAACCTAAATCTTTCCAAATCTCACTTGGGGGAGAGGGGAGTCTTTGTAAATCTGACGTATTTTTTTTTTCTAGTAGAAAACGGTGTAAAATTGCATGAAAATTAAATTAAAGTAAAGAATGTTTCTAAAATTTTTTAGTCTTAAATAAAAGTAATAAAACATATTGTGTTTGTTTTTTTAATAATCCAACGCATTTACACCCAAAACACAAATTTTGAAAAATCTCACGAGATATTAGGGGAGGGGGAGGGAGTTGAGGAAAATTTTACGAAATATAAAATTTAAGCAGAAATTGAAACCTACTGTGCATAAAAACGCGTATCTGCGCCTGACATCGCAAAATAGTGTGTCTAGAAGCTTGCGCAATATGCATGACTTGTCCCTGTAGTGTTGCCAAGTATATTAAACATACCTAACAGAAAATAATTTTATATTAATTTATTTTTAAATTATATGCATTAAACAGTTTATATCTATGAAATATCGCCACAAAATAACTTATAAACATTTAAATAATCAACTAATAATATTTATGTGTAATTACATTCACAAAAATATGTACAAATACGGTATTAATGTTCAATAAGCGATTCACCTACAAATTCAATATTGACCTGGCAATAGCACTAAAATCCGGTGTTTCAAAACTATATGACGCTGCCCTTACAGGACCGTTTGTAGTTTATTATTTAATTACACGATGAAAGTGGCATTTTAATTTGTAGTGTTTAGTTAAATCCTA